CATTTCACAGGACTTTTTGTGGAACAGATGATCGCGTAATCTTTTTCGAAACGAAATGGAATGATTGCATCGTCGATCTTCGTCAAGAGAACTTGGAAAACGCAAGGCTTGACCGACAATCAACATGATCTATCGTACGCGAGATCAATCATACGCGCGCGTAACTCGAACGATTATGGCCGGCGCGCTCTCGCGTACCTCGTTCATTATTCCTCTCGATCCTCCTCTTCCTTTATCCTCCTCCTGTATTCTCTTCTTTATCTTTTCCTCGTCTTCTATTTATCGCAAACGTGATAACACTTATAAAACGGCAGCGCGCGTCGCAGTTTGGCGACGATTTCTCGAGAGTCCTCGCGAATGCGATAGCAAAAGGGGATCGTCGTCGTCGCGATCGCGTCTTCCTCGTCGTCGTCCTCCACCTCCGTGATTTTATAAGGCCTCGAATGGAATCCAATTAGAGGTCGGAGGTGATCTAGCACGCGCGCGCGACTCTGTCAGTCGGCGCGACAGCGTCGGTACGCTTACTGTTGCGGCTGCTGCTTCGCGACTTGACGTTCACGCTCGCACGCTCGCCGCCGTACTCAGCTGTACTCGGCGCCAGCCCGAGGACGGATGATGCCGCCGAGATGCTGTCTCCTGTCTGATGGTCGGTAAGTAAGGTCCTCCGCGCTCTCTGGCATTAACGGCGAATCGATCCGCGGCGACGGCGTCTTTCCAAGACCTCGGCTCGTAAAGTTGCAGGTTTACATCTAATACAGACTGTAGGAAACATGTTTCACAATAATACCACCAAATTTATATCAATATTTAAATTAAGTTTTCCACTAGTTAGAACCACAGTTAACGAGAATATTCTTTATATTGAGTGAAGAAAGTTCATATATAATTAAATATATATATTTATATATAATTTTTTTTTTCCCGAAAGTATTCTTCTTTAATATTTTATCTTTTACATTATTTTGTATTACTTAATGTTATCCTTATTTCTCATTTGCTGTAGAAGTTTATTCTTATCGACATATGGAATGCCAATTTATATTTCTTATCCCTAGTCATCACGCGAACGAGCAGACGTGATATTACGCGTCTAAGATTATCATAATTCCAGAGGCGCCGAGACGTCACCGCTGTTCCTGACGACATCTGGAAGAAAACCGGCGTCGAGACACGGTGGAGAGGAAGGACAATGGTGGCGACTGGAGTCATTCGATCGTGGTCTTCCACATTTTTGTGGACTACTGCGCTTTTAACGCACATTATTCTTGTGATCTATTTCTTTTCTCGCTCTCTCGGCTATAAGGTTGCGCCTCGTTATATTTCGAGCGTGTTCTATGTTTAGATCAGATGCCCCTTATATTGCGCTCTCTCTCTTCTTTTGCATACATCTTTTATCTCTCCTCGACATCTTCCTCTTTCTTTTTCTTTTATTGTTAGGACCGAATGTAGAGTAAAGGATGCTTCAGGAGCATGCAAACCTCGGCAAAAAAATTTTGTGTAATTATTTAAGATAAATTATTTAATGACAAAATTTAAGAAATTTGTATCAAATTATAAAATCTTTTTTTACTAAAATAGAATTTTCTAATTATAAGTGATTGAAAAAGAATGACTTTTACGAACGGATAGCAAAATTTGTTTCTTTATTTAATTTAATTCTATTTTATATATCTCACGGATTAATTTTACAATATCTAAAATATCTCTTTTGTGCGCTTCTGTTTATTTCTCGCTCTCCTTTTTTTTTTACATCTCTCATCTTTTATATTTCGCTCCTATATATTTATGTGTTTGTCGGTTTCCTTTTTCGACAAACTCTCGCGGTTATTATTCTTATCTATAAGAATCGTGCTCTTTTTTTTCGCGCTGTTTGTATTCCGGAGGGATTTCTATTCCGGAATAGATTTCGTTCTTTCATCCTCTCCGTCTAAATGCATTCCATCTCTGTTTCTCTCTTTTTCTCCCACGCGCAGTTTTTGCCACATATACCGCATAAGCACGGAAGGCAAACACGTGACGACGATGATCCGCCGTCCCGCGCGCGTCTTCGCCTTCCGCTTGACAGCATTGAGGCTACACCACGTTGCACCATCAGTGGCTGCTGCCGCCGTGCTGTCACACTGACACTGATTGACGTGCGATAACGGCACTCGGTCGAAGATACCCTTGCGTGATCCTAAATCCCGTATTATACGAATAGAGATATTTAGATTCCTATATAGGCGAACATTTGGACGAGAGAGATGGAATGGCCAGTTATTTTTTTCTGAAAAAAGACCACACTTACACATTGTTCAAGCGGACACATAATTTTTTGATTTCTTATCGCGAGCGAGAGATAGATGAAGATATATGTCGCCTTCGCGAGAAAAAAAAAAAGAAATAAATATTGATGCAAAACACACATAAATCTTCTCGCGCGACATATATTTAATGTCGATAAAAAACGATGATATTTTAAAGATTTAAAAAAAAGTGATAGCTTGATGAAATCGCTCATTCTTATTGATTCTTCTCGCAACGGCAATATTTCATGTGCTATTTTTCTTCCTGCCTCTGAAATGGCCTTGACAGCCTACGCACACTCATGCGGTCTGGTAAACATAACTTTGCAGAGAGCAAATATACGAAATACTGTATCGTATTTGATGAATCGCTCATATGTTCGACAATAAAAATAAAAAATTAAGTAACAATTAAAAACTAAGCAGCCGAAAAATTTACGCGGGAGAACAATATTGCTATATCCGGGTTTTATAATTTCCACAAGTTTTTGAATATCGATCTTTTTGCAATTTTAAAAACTTTCTCTTCTTGCATAAAGATGGTAGAGAGATCTTAGGTTTAGATTATTATCTTAGCACGGATTCAATCTACAAATATGCGGCACCGGATTCGGCGGGCGTTCGCGCGTTTTTACGAGTCATCGACGATAGTTTATACGTCAGAGGCTGTCGCTTATTTTTAGCGGCCGTTTCTTTTTCGCGTCGATTTTGGACAAGCCTTCCATTTCCGCGCCGCGTTCGTCGCGTGTGGGTGGCGGTTGCACGAACGCCAAGGGTAATTACTGTCGCCGTATAACATTAAATGGGAAAGGTAACGGGGTAGCGAAAGGTCTCAAGAAACCTGCGAATCAAGGATCATGGCACTACATGCTGGAAGAGACATACTTCGGGAAATGTGCTGCCGGGGAACTCGATTGATATAAGATGTCCGTCCCTTGACAACTTCCACAAACTTTTAATTGCATCTATCTGGTCACGAATGAGCTCGAAATGTTTCGCGAAGAAAAGTCACGTGCATTAATTAATCATGAATAAAAAATGTTTTCAAATATTAGATTTTTATATATATGCAATATATAAAATTATATAATTACATATTAAGCTCTTAATTCGTATATAAAATTTTATATATACAGGGTGTTCCAGGTCAGGTTAATGAAACTTCAAGGTCTTATAGAAAATTGAGTTTGGAACCAAAAAGTTCCTATAAACATAGGTCCAGAACCGCTTCGTTAAAATTTATAGCTAATAAACTTCGAAAAATCAAGTTTTTTGATGATTTTTAAAAATATCTTCAAAATCGTTCATCCATTTGAAAAAAAATAACGAAATAATTATGATGGGTAATTAAATAACAAACTAAATTACACCAATTTCATTTAATTCTGATAAGGCGTTCAAAAGAAAATAAGCTCACACAAAACAACAAAAACAGCAGAAACTTGAAAAAACCACCTTTCAATAGTCCTTGTAAACACTACATTCGTAGTGCAAATATTGCAAATGTAAACATAAAAATGTTCTTAAATTTTGATCATAATAAATTACTTACAAAGAATTTATTAGCTGTAACTTTTTAATGAAGCGTTTTCGGATCTGTTTACCGGATATGTTTATAGAAACTTTTTTGTTCCAAATTCAATTTCCTGTAGGACCCTGGAGTTTCATTGATCTGACCTAAACATCTTGTATAATTTTTAATCCTAGAATTTTCTAGTACTCTGTACATTTTGTTTTTGCGAGAGTGGCGAGATAAACAAATATATTATATCTTATTCTATTTTTGTCTAAGAATATTTTCACAGAAGAATATATATATAAAAAAATTTTCTGATATTGATGTTTCGTTTAGTTAAAGTTTTTGTTTTATAAAAGCTGTATTTAGAAAAATGCTTTGAAGAAAAGAAAGCGAGGAAAAATATAAATTGCAAGTGCAGTGACACACAAAATCAAACATATTCATATCATATGACCGTGATTATATAATTACATCGGTATATCAGGTATCTATTGCTTCATAATGATCGTATATCGATAAAACAGGGCAATCTGTTCTTTCATAATAATTACACCAGCAATTCACAGAGATGGCAGTACTTGCTGTTTACACATGTAAAAAAAATGATATTTCTGATTAAAATGTCTTTACGATATATTTATCGTTTATATTACGTTAAATGAATTTTTACGACGATTTTAATTATTCATTGACTAATGAGCAAGAAACAAATTAAAAATAATTTTTGTTTGTATCTCTGTTACACAAACATAGCTTGCTGTTTTCACAAATGCCATTTTATCCTCGGAAAATACTCATTGTCAGTCAATACTACTTCAAAAACCACACAACAAATTGACAATAACATTTAAAACACATATTTTAGAAAAATTCGCAAATACGTCACAATTCATAATCAGAAGAAACGTGTTCTCGAAGAACACTAGGTCCGAGATCACCCTAAACTTATTGTTAGTCCCGTGTATCACGTCACTGTCACGTCATATTGACACATGAATGTTCGTCACTGTGATTGACAGCGTTATCCCTCTCGTCTCGTCAGGATCGCAGGAAGCACCGCGCAGGATCGCGATGTCTCCCGGACGAGGGAAATCGCGAGAGAGACGAAAAGCTCTCTCGACAGATTCAGGTTAATCCGCGACGCACGTCGACGGGGGTCGGTTGAGGATTGTCGAGGAACAGTGGCATATACGTACCCTTTCCAGCTTCTGGAAGTACTCCCGCAGGAAGGAGATCGGGTTCTCGGGCCGGCCGACGCACAGTTGCACTATACAGTCTTTCAGAACCTGCTGGATATTGTGTCGCTGAACGTATTCCTCGCACTCGCGTAAACTCTGCTCCTCCTCGAGATTCGCCGCCATATTGATGATGCACGCCGCGCCGCTTTATCGGCGATACCTTCATACGTGTGAGTTGCCGTCGTCTTCTCTGCGACGACGACGACGACGACGACGACGAGGCGCGGGGAATGAGATAGTACAAGGAGATAGGCAGGGAGCGGGACCGATGACAGCTGACAGTTTCCGAAAAGATATCTAGCGAGAATTGCGTTCTATATTAATTTAGTCGCGACGATAGATATACGTGAGTTCCTTTTCGCATGTCGCAAAATTGCAACGCGAAATTGCACTTAACGTTCGAAGGAAAATGAACTCATTGTAAATGAGATTATTCTGTTTCTAATATAATTTTGGGCATTCGAATTCCGATACTATCTAGATACGGAGATCCCTATGCGTATTTATTCGTGACGATTGTGTAAATCGCAAATTTTATCGCGTGTTATCGGAAAATGATATCGCTATCATTTGCGTAAAGATCGATAATATTTGGTTAGTTAAAATTAGCTCCAGATGATACATTAACTAAAAAAATCTTACAAAGATAAAAAAAGTACGCGAAGTACAAAAAATATTTCAACTTGTACCCAACAAAAAGTATAAAAAAATATTTATTCCTAAAAAATACCTTTAAAAAAAAATATTCCTTAAAAAATAATTTTCCCATAAAAAATAAAAAACTAAAAAATAATTTTTCTCTAAAAAATAGAAAATCAAAACTAAATATGAAATCAATAGCAAACAACTAGCCAAGTATTTATAGAAGCAATTCTTTGCGAGAATATATAATCTAAAATAGTAGAAATAAATACTCCATAAAATTAAAACGTACTTTATTTTTATTAAGAGAAACCTGTTTTTAAGTTCAATTCAAAATAAGTTCAATCTTCCAAAAAATAAAGAAATCATTTGGTTAGTTAAAATTAGCTCCAAATGATACATTAAATGCAGCTGGTTTCAAAACCCACAATTTAGTTTGAATTTTTCAAATTTCCAAGCAAAAAGTCGAAAGAAAAAAAAATATATATATATACATAAAATATATACATAAAAATATTCACATATATAAATTTATGAAATAAAATCCATTTAAGAAATCGGGTAGACTTGAAGAAAATAATGAATTGGAATATTCGTTCAAAATCAAAATCCCCGCTCTGTACTGTCGCGAGCGTGGTGATGTTAAAAAACGCGCACATCATCGATGCGCATGCGCGCATCCCCGACGCGCATGCGCGCGACTCGATCGCCCAGTTCGATGTATCGCGCGCCCTCGCTCGCGATATCGTCGCGCGCATCTCGATTAGTCGTCTCGCCGCGATCCTCTCGTTCTCGTGTATCGCGATGGACGGCAAAGTGCTGCGTGCGGCGTACTGCTGCCTGCGAACGGACGAATCTCCGTGCTGAGAGGGAGAGAGGTTGCGTGGTGTTACGCGGCGAAGCTCGTGGATCTGTCGGCGAGCCTCGCCTCGGCTCGCCTCGCGACGAACTTCACGGCGGAAGCGGAGCGAAGTCGGGCGCGATCGCTCGGTAACGGACGGTTCGGAGGTCGAGTGAGAGAGAGAACGATAGAGTGTGCCGAATAATCGGACGATCCTGGGTCGCGTGTGCTCTCATAGCGCTGGGTGAAAACCTTACCTGATACCTTACGTGTGCGTCTAGTGTTCGCGCCTAGTGCCGGGATCTGAGGATAGTTGTCAACGAGCGCGACGCACGGCCGGATATACTCGAGGAGCTTCGTTTGTCGCGAGACCTCGGAGGGTCTCTCGAGCAAGAGAAAGAGAGAGACGGAGGGAGAGACGGGGACCGAGTCAATCTCCAGAGAGGAGCTACGGAGAAACGAGAGGTACGCCTCCTCGACAATGAGACCTAGAAGTCATACTCGCATACACGCGTTTCTCGGATACCTACTTTAATCTCTTATTCGTGCACACGCGCACACATATATAGACGTAAAATTCTCGGTCACGCGCACATGTAGCGAGATCCTCGTTCCTCGAGTAACAATCGTGCGAATAGGCTATAAAACGACGAGGACGGTCAATCGGCGATTTCGCTTCCTGCCGCTCCCGTCGTCGTCCGGTTGTTCCTCGCGCAAAGATCGATACTCGTGGCTCTCCTGAGAAAGAGAGAGAAAGAAAGAGAGACAGAGAGAGAGAGAGATATCTAAGCTTGCCGACCAAAATAGCGAACGAGTCCTCTCCTCTCTCTCTCTCTCTCTCTCTCTCTCTCTCTCTCTCTCGGTAGCATCGACTGCGGGCTTTCCTGGAACGTATTCTCGTCGTTCACGACGATCGCGAGATCGAGCAAGTGACGTTCACGTCGAATAGGATTGTAATACAGAGCGTGAAATTTGACAATACATCCTTTACTTGGTTGCTTGGCCTATCGATATTCTGTGTGTTTTCTTTGGTGCTTTGAGGTTATCCAATTTAAAAATACATTTTTTTTTTGAGGTTATCTAATATTTATTGAACATAAATTTGAAATAGTACAATTTTCTATATGTATGAGGAGAATCAATGTAATTGGTGAAACCTAACATTATCTGAAATATCATGTAAATCTATTCTAAATTATCTATTCAGAATATTGCAAATTTAGTTAGATTTTATTTGCGAAAATTATTAAATAATAATTATTAAAAATTATTAAATAATTATTAATTAATTAAGGTAATATTAACAGAAAAGGAGAAAATTATAATTAACAGTAGCTAGTACTGTTAATATAATCAATTCCTTATTTATGTGTATATAAGAGCTTTCTAGGAAATAGGTTTGTATATTTATTGACAGTGATCACTCTGATACTTCGATAACAATATTGAATAAATATTTTTCTTCGATTTTTTTAGCTATCGTTACAATTAAGTTAAGAATTTATATATGAAGAGAATTTAATTTCTCTCAAGAGTTTTCAATTTAACTACAATATTAATAGTAAATAGCATATGACGTGTTTATTCTGCAACCATAAAAACCAGTATAATTATTAACGCAAATTTATTTATGAGTCATCATTATAGAAATTCATAATATTTACATTTGCTACACAACTTCAGATGAATATCTTCAGACGAATACTAGCTCTGGTTCTCTTCCAAAACTTGCTATTAAAATAAATCTGACTTTGCCACGAGAATCTCGCTGTGCCTTGCAACCGTATTCCGTGCGTCATACTCGTTGAAAGATAACAAAGTTGCTTGTGTATCTTTGTCTTTTAAACTTATATCTAGTAGTATTTTAATTATATAAAGGTTGAAGAATTTATTGGTTAATGTTTTCTGATTTATAGGGCTAAAAGGATTCGTCGGAAATCGTGACGCATCGATAGTGTGTATCGGCGAGATCGTGACAGATACCAGCGCACGTGGGATAACGAATACGAGCTCCTCGGTCTATCCTTCTCCATCGTCTCTCGTTTGTATCGTTACAGAAGACAACGGCAAGAATTACGTACCACCATAGTTGGTATAATGTGTATGTGCATATGTGCGCGAGGATAAACCGAAGAAAGAGAAGTGAAACATTCTATAAGGAATTATAAAACAACGAGTGAAACGAGTGTAGGAAAAAGTGCGGAGGAAAAGATCCGAGAATTTCTCTCGTAAAAGAAGAACAAAGAAAGGATACAAACAGGGGACACAGAGAACAAGAGGTCCTTCTGCAAGGTCGTCTCGGCTATGACGAGGACAGGGAGTCGCCTTGATCGGTCGTCGTTGATTGCAGCCGCGGATGTCAGCGCGATCATTATCATCCCATTGAATGTGGAATACGATCTCACGATTCTTCGCTAAGGGCAGTAAGACCGCGGTAGTGCAGGAATTAGCCTCGCCGCCGCTGCCATCATCATTGACGACAACAACGACGACGGCGACGACGACGACGGTAAAAGACGACGAGCAGCAACAAGACAAGCTCGCGTGCAACGGCGTCGCCGACGACGACGCGTCCGTCGACGGTACGAGCGCCGTCCATGTGTTCTACAGCACGACGATGGATCGCGGCGCGAGTGCAGAAGATCGACGCAGGCTTGCCGCAGCCTCCGCCGCTGCAACCGGTGCCGCGACGGCAGTGGCAGCAACAGCCGACCAACAGTTCAGCGGGGGCGACTCCGAGCATTTCTCCGACTCTTATGATTCTCGTCAGGTGAGTCTTTCTTTTTGCTCCTCCTCCGGAACCGTCCACGAGTCAAAACGGCTCCGAGATAATTACGGATTAAACGAAAATAGCGACCTGGAGAAATCTATCGTGTCCCGAGGTCGAAAAGCTCTCATAAATAAAAAAATTGATAAAATATAAATGAGTATATTCACAAATTGTTTTATATAATATATATTTGTATACTGGTATATATTTCTTTCTTGTAAAGAATAATCATCTTTTTCTTTTGGCAAAATTGTTGGCAAGAGTTTTCAAGATATCTCGTTGTCTAATATGCAAATACAGTATATTTACAGTTTTTTGATGTTTTATGTAAAAATTTTAGTAATTCTGTTATAATTAATATATAATAAAATTTGTATAATAAAACTTGAAATTTTATTTGCATCGACATAAAGTATATTCCCTTATGGCAGCAAAATGTGATTTTTAGCTCTGATGTAAACAAGATAAATGTTAATATATATGTATTATATGTAAATTTAAATATATTAAAATTAAACTTTATTATAACAGAATTATCAAAAGTTTTATACGAAGAATTAAAAGACATCAAATGCACTGTATAAATTTATATTTAAAAATGAGATGGAAAATGAGACATTTCCAAATTAGAAATTTTGTCAAAGAAAAAGAACGTTCATTTTTTGACAAGAAATACGATAATTCTATACCCTATACCCTACGATAATTAATCTATACCCTATTTATATATAAGACACTTTATATACTTGGGATTAGGATTAAATGTGAAAGGAGAGAATTTAAGATCTATAAAAAAAGGTTCTGTAGAGAAAGAGAGAGAGAGAGAGAGAGTGAGATATTTTTATTCACGTTCGTCGAGTGTCAAAGAAATTCTCGTCGCGTGTATTTGTGAGACTTATTGTAGAGGGCTTGTGTCCGGCAGTAAAGCTATTCCCGAGCTGTGACGCTGCGACGAATATGGCGTTCGTTTCCTGTGCACGAGCTTATTTATTGCACGATAAAACACGCGGCTACGGATGCGGACCATCGAACGCAGGTCCCTCCCCTCTCTTTCCAACGAACTGCCCCGAGAAATCGCGCAACGCGCACCTTAATCATCCCTTTAATCGCGCCGTTAATCTCAAGCGAAGCCGCGCGTCTCGGAAGCCGCTACTCTCGACGCTTGTAAAACAGAGATTTTACGCGATCGTATCAGCTTTCAGAAAATTGTATCGATCGTCTATTAATATGGCTTCGTTTATTAACCCGCGCGTCATCGTACGCAAAAGACGTTCCTTGCGTGTCTTGCAATCCATAATTTTATTTTATTCGATTTTTTAGTCTGGATTCATCGAATGTGTATTATCTATATCTTTATGCGGGGTGTCTACCCCCTGGAAAAACCTAGAAAACCTGGAATTT